TTATCCCATAAAAGCGAATGATATTACTATGATCATTAACTCCACGATGGAGTTCGAGCTAAATTGTTACGAATATAAATTTTAGTTTGATTATAAATAATTTTATAATAAATAGACCGAAATGCAATATTGCCTCTGTAATTACCTCACGAACAAGTTCTTTAACAGTGTCATTGTTAAAGCAATGAAATGATTTTAACGCACGGTATTGCTTTGAATTTTTCCAACTTGCACGATAGACTTTTCCAAAACCGCCTATACCAATCTCTTGAAAATTGTTAAAATGTTCGTATTCGTAATATTTGATATCTCTATCTGAAATATATTCTTCAAGCCACTCATTTGATTTATTGCCAGTTTGCATATTGGATAATTTTTTTTTTTTAGCGATAAAATTTTTTTTAGAGAGAAAAAATGCGTTCGGTAGATCATGTCACATTTCTAAGCCACTGGTCATATGAATGATCGGTGTGACCTAAAGAAATTTTATATGTATTTCCTTATAGGGATTTTTGTGGTGCCGGATAATTTTAGGTATGCAAGAATACATATGAGAAACTCTTAACGCACGATTTTCATAGAATGCAACAAGATACTTACTTAATAAATGTGAAGGGAGGGATGATGAATAGATTTTTTTACCGAAAAAATTCTGTTGCCAGAAAAAAAATTTGAAAATTATGTTGGTTATATTTTTTTTTTTCAATATAAAAAAATAAATAAATATTTGAAAAAAAAAGTGGTAGTGAACAAAAAAATGCTTTATTTCATAGTAAGATTGTAATATATGTCGATCATTTCTGAAATTAAATTTCATTTGTTTTAGGTGATTATAAACAAGACTAACCGAATTTGTAGTTACTAAGTATAAATATAATAATGACAATTTTTTATTTAAATTTTTCATGATTATTCAAAAAGCAAATTCATCACGGCGATTCATTATGCAGGTATAAAAAAGACGCAAATGGGGTTATGCTTGCATTAGGCCATATTCTCCCTCATTTTGTAAAAAAAATAAAATAATAGTAGATTATATCATGATGAAAATGATATTCCAGATGGCTATGTAGTTAAATCAGAATTATAGAAAATATCGACTATTTTAAAATAAAATACTACAATCCATATAATGTTAAATTCTCTATTTCATGATGGTAATTAAAATTCTTGAATCGATAAAATCGGTAACTGATTTGAATAAACTTTTTTGTAAGTTAAAAATTTAATAATACTTATGTTTTTAATATTTTATATAATTTGCTTTTCTAATTATTATAATTAATTTTTATTGGAATGTGATTCGTCTCCAATTCAAATATGTAGTCTAATCAAGCACGTTTATTTAAGCACATTTGATCAAAATAACTTTTTTTATCAGATTTTTTTAATAATAAGCAGATTTGAACTAACTTGTTTGAGCAATCAAGACTATCTATTAGTCTAACGATTTAACTTATAAGTGCTTGACTTAAACGGCGATCAGAAGCTTGTTTTCCCAAAACAGCTTAGGTTGCTTCTAACTCAAAGCAGTATTAAGCATCCCTATTCATTAATATAATGAGTTATGTAAAGTTTGTAAATTGGTTATTAGAGTAATTGAACACTTAAAATAAGTTAAAGAGTTGATAAATGCAATAAGCTTAATTTATTTGTATTATGGCAGCTCGTTAATGGAGCATTTCAAGTTGAAAATCGAATCGAGGAATTTGGTAAAATAGGTAAGGTAGTTATTTGAGATCTGTTGCAATAGAAATTCAGGCAATGTTAATAAGCTAGTTATTAGATTATGTGAACGATTAAGATGTGTTAAAGAAAGAGTAAATTTGTTATGCAGGTTATTGCAATAAAGTATTTATAAAGTGTTGGGCAAGATTATTAAAGAATTAGATTTGTTAAAGAGTCCGGTAAAATAGTTACCTGTTTCTTTCAATCAACCTGAGGCATTTCCTTATTAGTATCATTAATAGTTAAACTGATATAATAATAAATATTTATTTTAAGATTTCTAATCCATTATGGATACTTCTTCTTTTGTAATCTTTCTTTCCAATTAATTAATAGTTCCTTGCTTGATTTGGTTTCTTATTCTTGCTTTTTAACCTTTTCTTATATATATTTGAATTGTGAACGCAACACTTAGTTCCATTGTTCTAATTCCTTAATTCTAGTTTCAAAGTCACTTAAGACTTTTCTAACCAATTTTTTAAAACTAATAGGAGTTTCTCTACCTAATAAAATTGCTTCAAAAACTAATCATAATCGAAACAATGTTTAACAGAACAGATAATTATTTCACTTAATGTGGATTCGTTCATTTGGCAAGAGATTTTATTAATAAAAATAAATGATAACAAAGGTTCATTAATTGATTAATTAAGTAAGTAAGTAACATTCTATTGAATTGTTTACAAAGATTTACTACGGTATGTAAGTAAGTTGTCTAAAAGTATGAAGTATAAATTAATGAGCATTTCCGTAACCATATCAAGACATTTTATTGTATTATTGTATTTCAAAATAAATTTAACGTTTGTGATTAATTAATTAACTTTTATAAACCACAAAAAAAGATATATTTCTTTATACATTAAAAGGCGCATAATTAATGCCATAACGTCAACCTTAATGCCATAATTCTGACCGATCTATCTCGTGATCGCTAACTTTTTGATGGAAGCCAGCAGAATATAACTTTACTGTCCAAAAGGTTTTAATTAGTTAAAAGCATAGTTGGCCTGATGGTTAGTTTACTTAATAATTACAATAATATAAATTTTAAATAAATTTAAAATCCGAAAATTATCCATACTTTTTGGTTAATTTCGAAAGTCTAAGGACAACCGGTTGGTTTAAATGAAGTTGGGTTCCTTCTAAATTGGTTATATAAAATTTTCAAGACTGTTTTAAAAGACGGTGTCGCATGTAAAACAGTAAATAGATCCGTAACCCGCGAATCAACAATTTTTTTCCCAGATTTTTTTTCGAAAACATTTTTATAGATATCGACCACTTAATCAATCATATAGCTTTGTTTAGATAGTTATAACTTTTATTTTTAGAAACATATGGGTTGTGATCTAAGAAAATCAAGATCTGAGAAATTTTTGACTAAAATTAATATCTTATTACATTTTAGTCTAAATGTAATAAAAATTAAGATGCAATTAAAATCTCAATTTTGATAAAAAATTCTCAGAACTTGATTTCTTAGATCACTACCCATATGTTATTTGCTATTAAAATCGGGTTACGAGACATAGAACCATAAGATCAGTAATAGCAAACCGCCCATATGGAAAATGTAAGTTAACGCCAATATAAGGAGAATGAATTCTTTTGATTAACCATTTGGATATGGTTTTGTTTGGTGGAATTTAGTTTCACATTACTTGATTGCGGCATAAATATCTCCAAAAGAATTCATGACTTTTTTATATAATATATTTTTATTTTCTGATTGTTACATCGCTGAAGAATTGAGTTCATGATATATGTCAAAGCTACAAGTTTCTATTTGGAGCGTTTTACAATGAATTTTCGTAGGTGATATTCAGATCAAGTGATTATGATGTAAAAAATGTTTAATGAAATTTTTATTTAAGGTTTTTTTTATTAAGATTTTATAAATTCATAAATCACAATAAACTATTTTTAATTATCAATCGAATTATTTTTTTAATATATAAACGCTGTAAAGTTCATGTTCCAATTATTTATAATAAAATAATTATACAAAAACAAATATGACAAACTAACAATAATAATTAGATTAAAAACGTCAAGATTAGTAGATAACTTTACATCATACTTTACAAACAAAAAAGGGACTTATAGAAAAAAAATTTATCGCATCGAGGCTAAAAAATAAAATGTATGTGATAAGAAAAAATGCATCGGCCACGAGAATTATTGTCATTTTTAAAAATCCTCTATGCTATTTAACGCATGCTTTGAAGGAATTTCAATCAAAAAGCAATCTTTTTTCAAATGTTTTGATACGGGCTCATCTTTTGTAGCCGGAAGGAGGAGGTTTTGATCTCTGCTTATGTGATAGCGCCTTTGCCATTTTGATTTATCTGATTCCGATAGTTGCTTCCACCATTTGGATACCAATCTGCTGTACTCGCCCATTGGCATCTTAGAAGGTTTATGCTTCATCATTTCTTTGCGATAGGAAATGAACATGTTTGGCAACCTCCTTTTTGGTTGTCTATTTTCATTATCTTCATTAAATGTATTAAATGTATAGTGGAATATTTGGAGTTCATCACTCATCTTTTGAGAAATATTTTTAAAATATTTGAAGGATAATGAAGATTTGTATACGAATAATAAAAATGAAATTTTAAAAGGAAAAAAATTTAATGATGAAAGGCAATATATACAGAAGGCGGAAGACAGACTTAATATTTATGCTGAAATTTGGCGTATTTTTTTTCAATACAATATATTATTGTTTGGATTGTTCCGTTATGCTATGTCCTCAAAAATCGATTATTCTCCTTTTTTTTTCCTTGATCTATATATATTTAATCTTAGGATCCTTTTGTTGGCTTATCTGTCGCCAATTACAAGCGTATTTTCGGATGAATCCGGAGACTTATAAATGAAGCATCTTGATACATATCAATTGTGATAAAATTTTTATCATGCTCGGGTAAAATTTAATCCTTTCTTACCTATTCTATTGACTTTAAATTATTTTACATTCTTATCAATCAAATAAAACAAAAACCGGACAGCATTTTATGAATGATTTTACTTTTGAGGATGCTCAATTATTGATTAATAAAATAAAAAAAAAATTAAACTCCTCCGTTGGATGAAGATTTCTTGTGCGATAAGATGAACATAATAAATGCGCACGTAATAAATTCTCGCGTTTGAACTATAAATTATTAATAGAGTGTTGCAATATAGTAATTTTTATCAACATGTTATGTAAACATAACATAAACAATTAGAACATCAATTTAAACTGACCCGATTTATTTATCTCACACAACTTTAATGCGGCAACAATCAGCAATAGTTATTTATTTAAATGTAATTGCATGTTACAAGGAATGATATTATATATTTTTAAAATAATATTGACAAAAAATTATAATTTATTTATATGCCTCTCCTTAAAATAAAACAATATTTACATCCTTTTAATAAATATATCAACTTCAAATAATATTATCACTTATTATTATTATAAAGGGACGTTTCAAATACTTTTACATTAAAGCTGTCAATCTTTAAAAGAACTATAAACACATTTGAATTAAAGTGACACTATATTTGGATTTGAAGCTCTAATATATATTTATATTTATATTTATAAATATAATTTAAAATCATAGAGAACGTGCTTCATAATGGTTGCACAAGGATTTATCATGAAAAATAAAATTCTAATTAGGGAAACCTATTGAACATCTAGGATTTTTAACAAGTTTTTCTTCATCTCTGGGAATTCTTCGGGTCTCCATTCATCATTCTTAATTAACTCATTAACCTTTCTACGTGATTCATCGACATTAGCGTAATAATAACTAAGTAAAAATTAAACAATATTAATTAAGGCCTCGAATAAAGAACGTAAAAGAGAATTGACGACGATCACTTACATCGTATCAGGGAACCAAGTTTTCCAACGCCTTTGATGCGGTAACATGTAAAACATTTCAATTTCTCTCAAAATCTATTTAAAAATGAGACAAAAATTAATAATTTAATTATTTTGATTTTTCTAAAAAAAACCCCCCATTAAAGTATAAAGATAAAAATAAAATGGATCCAAATAAATAACCTCTGCTTTTTGCAACAAATATGAAACACGATTGTCGCCTTTCCCAATCTCTATATTTAGCAAACCAATAAGCAAATTCATGAGATATACAACCACCAAGAATGAGAACGCGCTCATTAACATGACAAAAAGTGGATTAGTATCATATGTCCATTGTCCAAAGGAACTTGAATCACCTATATTAGATTTTGAGTAAATAATTTATCAACATTCAAATGATTAAAATGAATGAAACTTTAAAAACTTATGTACATACCCGTTAAAGAAAAGTACATTGCAAGAAGTGCGGTTTTAAAATGTGAAAACATGTTTGTATTTTCATCAGGCTTTTGAATTAGGGCCGGCTCTTGACTAACTGAACCATTTGGTAATACTTGGTAAAAAGTAGTAGCCATATTCCAGGGATTATTGGTGTCGTTACTTGCTATACGTTGATCTAAATTATACTTCTCTCTTGGCCTTAAAAGAATATAAAAGGCATGAGCAAATCCAATAAGTATGAGAAATAAAAGAAATATGAAATAAATGATTTTTTTCGCGACACTTAAAATGATCGTAAAGTAAACACCAAAATGTTCAAACACTCTGAAGAAAAATATGAACTTCAAATCTAAAAATAAACATGAAAATCCAAATAAAGTGGAGTATTTAAGATTATCTTCGTAATTATTATAATCTATTCGAAACAAAAGAATGGATGCATATAATGGTAAAACACAGGCTGTCGTATCTATAATAAAAGATTGATTAATTTTTTAAAAAGAATATAAAAAGAATCAATACAAAAAATAAAAAGATTGAAATACTTTCAAGATACCAAGTATATTTCGAATATCCTGAATCCATTTTAAGGGATTATAGATAAATTGACGTATTTCAACGCTCAAGTGAAAAAATCCAAGAACTATTGAGGCAATTAAAAGTCGAGTTCTGATATCTCGAGATATTTCAGAAACTGTTGTAGCAACGACGAAGCAACTGAGAAAAGCATTATACACGATCCAAATCACTGCGTAATAATATTTCCCGTATGAATTCCACTTGAAATTAATTAATGCTTCACCATCCCAAGTTTTATAAATCTCTTCGGTTATGGTTTTTCCAAATGGACTAGTTTGAGGTCGAATTAATTCCCACCAAGTATATTTTTCAGGATAACTAGCAAATTTGATGTAAGGGACCATAAAAGTAATCGTGGGGCTTAAGTCCTGGTTAAAAAAATTTGAATACATTTTTTTGATCGCATAAGCTATAATATAATAACAAGAGAAAAACCCATCGAAGATATATATATTATTAATAAAATGAAACCCATCTAAAATGCTAAATAGCGATAAGGAAATAGGTAATGTTAAAAAAAAGACTAAACATTCCAAGATAAGATAAAACAGGTAAAATATATATGTTATTTTATCATAATCGATCGTTCCCAATTTATAATTATATTTGGACATGAAAATCGATCGTGTCAAATTAATAATTTTAATATTTCTTGGAAAAGAGTAAAGGTGTGGAATATTTAGATGTTCTTTCTTATAATCCAGGGAATCTATTATCATTGCTGTATCTAATGAATACCTTAAAAGATATTCAGGATAACTTTTCTTTAAAAATGGCATTGAAGTATTAATGACGGTTAAAAACGCCTTATTATTTTCTAAATCTTGTTTAAAACAATCCAAACATTTTTTATAAATATCATCAACTAATTTTAAATCATGCACATCAATTGCAAAAATTAATAAAGCCGCTCCATATTTTAAAAAATTTTCTCGATCATTATTCACATATGAAACCCATCCATCAATCGGAAATTCTTTATTATCAACAAGGGTATTGAAGAACATAAAATTTTGCAACCGTTTGAGTTTAACTTGTTTCTTCAGTTGATGGTGTATGTATTGAAAATAATCCAATGATAATTTGTTTTTTTCTAGATAGAAAATAAAAACGCCAATGTTTGTTGATAAGACAATGTGTTTGTTTTTAAATATTTTAATTTCTTCAACCACTAATACTTCTTTTTCATATTTGGTCTTGTTGGATAGCTCGCAAATAATTTCATCATTTTTAACGTTAATAACGCGCAATCCAATAAATTCTTTAAGGGTGAAAATTTCTAATCTAATATCCTTATCATCAAATTTATGGTTTATAGTTTTTTTAGGTATTTGTCCTTCTCTAAGCAATTCATTTTTGTCAATATTCAAATCTTGAATAAATGGATTTTCAAATTTATCGTGTCTATCATCACGATCAAAATATGTCATCCAACTTTCTGCGAACACATCATCATAAGCATTTGTTTTTATCTCTAATAAAAAATCGGTAACAATCTTGTCAAATTGAAATTTCCAAACATACCCTTCTACAACTAAAAAAATGTAGCTCTTTGATTCAACCATGACTTCTGATTCAACCGTGTCTTTTGATTCAACATTATCTTTTGATTCACGATAAAATATGCAAGGAAAGTTTGGCAAATCTTCGTCCACGTATTCATTTGTTGATAGGGTACTATTATTTAATTGATCTATACAAATCTTCCGACAGCGCGTGGTAATATAATCCAATATTTTCTTGTTCGATTTATGATCAATTAAAGTCAACAGCAAACAATTTAATTCTGGGGTATTTTTCATAAACTTATACAGTTTTGACTCTAAAGAATACTCACTAGAGTTAATTTAATTATAAGAATAGCATACGTGAAATCAAATAATCGTACCATCATTTAAGTCCAGCGACGCGATAGGAATAGGAATCCCCATATCATTTGAATAAACAATGACTTTATTCATTATTTTTATACAAGTATATTTATCATAATCAGAAATTCTAATATCTCGCGTTTTAATCTATGAATAATTTAATTGAAAAAAATGAGTCATTTAGTTTTTTACATTTTTCATTATTAACTTTAACAAACAAATATTACAATTACCCCGCGTGTGATTGTTGAGATAATCGTAGTTTCTTTAGACTTAATATTCCATTCATTTATATGCTCAACTGAGCGTAGCCAAATTTTGTTAAATTTTGATATGCTAATTAATTCTGATATTTTAGGTACCGTATAAATCTTTTTACACTTCCATCTGTTTCCATTCGTTGAATAGACCCAGATAATATTATGTTCGTCAATATCACCATCAACACCATACAAAATAAATTCTTCCTTCGAGTTAAAGCTGCAATAAAATAGATCCAAAAAATATTTAAAATACAACTCTTTTTTTTTATTCTTATCCATATCAACAATTTCTAATTTAAACAAGGCAAATACGCTTAATTTATTAAATTAATACAACAATAAAAAATATATAAAGGGATATCAATTGTACTTACTCAAATATTCGTGTATACCTTCCTTTTCCGATTTCAGTTCAGTACTAACACGTAAACCGTATTCAACGTTGCTATACGCTAGTATCTTTTCATTGGAGACACACATGCGAACGATCTTTTTCTCTTTGTTGTGTTCAATGTGTATAATGTGCGAATCATCTTCCTTGTCTTTGATTGGCTCAAGAATGCCTACTTCATTGCCAACATTCCACCCGACAACCGTATTATCTTTTTCACTATATGTAACAATAAATTCGCCGTTTGGCGAACTTTCGATCATCGTAATGGGTTTACCGTCATGTGGACGTTTCCTCCTATAGGTATCATCGATGAAACCTCTTTTTTCTGCCATGTCACTAGATTCATCATACATTTGAAATATATTCCCTGGTTTAAGAAAAGAATTTTGTTTAGAATCTTTTTTACCATCCTTTATATACTACCAAAAAAAGAGACGGGTGTGATCAATTACAATCGAATATTTAGCCACAAAATATAATTTTATTATATTTGAGGCTTAGTTCATAATCTATTTTAATAAAATTTTAAAGAACCGATTTTCCAGAGATCAACATAAATATTTGCGGCTTAAAACGGTATTTTATATTTGCGGCGGGCTTAGTTCGCAAATTTCTGCATTCTATTCATGTTTTTTTTTTCATGATCAAATTTTAATCTTAAACCAGGTCTATAATGATAGAACAAGTAATTCGTGGCTTTTTAACATCCAAAAAATCGTTTTACCCGATGACAGCCACAAATCGCCCACAAACGTTCTTGCTTTTATGAAAATTTCCTTAAAATTATGTCAATATTTGCAAAAAGTCGAATTCCTGGAAGTCTTGGCAAAATCAAGTGATACGATCTAGATATTGTTTACAATATAATTGTTCTATTTGTTCTATTATTTTCGGGACATTACATTGTGTCCCAATGATATTTAGTTTAGTTTCGATCGGCTCTGGCCAAATTATTTCGTGGTCAAAATAAAATGTCTTCTGGTTGTATGAAATGCATGTTCGTGAATAAGTAATAATCTTTAGATATCATTAGATTATGATTTTATCCTTTCGCATTTTTTGTAATTAATCTAATTATTAAATTCGATTTTTTTTTCGTTTTTATTAATAAATTCGATTAAAATTATTACCTTTTGTTTACATTCATAAATAAAAAACATAATGAATTGCGTATAAAAATACCTATCTTGATACAAAGCTAGTTATTATTACTATTTCAAGTATAAAAGTGTTTATTGCCTCAAAAATCTTTGATTTTTCATATCATAGCATTCTTAACATAGTCGTAAAGCAATTAATTATATTCCAAATTTTTATTTTCTTTATCCATAATCTCTGTAATATTTACAGTTTTTTTTAAATCTCAGATTCTAAATTTAGCCACCTTTTGATAACTCCTTATGAACTATGCATGCGGATCATATGATTTACTATGTTAATATCTTGATTTTAATAGCAAACGAACCATGCGTTCATAGAGATAGCCTCGAATTTTAATCGATCAGTTGCATATGATTAGATTAAGCAAATCGTTTCCATTCATAAAATTGATCAATGTATAACAAAGGAGTTGTTTGACATGCATTCTTCATTATACAATTTTTCCAATCAAATTTCATGAATCAATATCTCGAAATTCTTTCTCATTGTTTAATGCACCATCCCAAACTTCAAGTACTGATCGGGTATACCCATTAGAGTCTATACTATTTCATTCCACCTCTCATAACATGACATGCATCCACAGTGTAATGATTTCAAACATGGCATATAAATTTTGTAAGTTGGTCGGATAATTTTAAAAGAATCTAATTAATTTAATTAATCTAATACATAATTTATCACAATCACGCCTATATGAAGACATGCCAAAAGGTAATAGTAAATAATATTGTTAAATATCTTTTACTTAACGCGTGGTCTATTCTCAAAATCTTAAACTTGAGATTTCAACTCAAGGAAAAATATAGGATAATTATATAAAAGTTAAATATTGATATTAACCCTATCAATTTTATCATCCTTTCATTATAACAAATAATATAACTATATAATCTTGGTCATATATGACCACTTCGTCATATTTGTCGAATGATCACTGAATTGTCACAGTCACAAATCACGACTTCAACAATTAAATAAATCTTGTCTCGGTGATGTTGTTAATAAAATAGTTACCTCTGTTAGAGGGACCAGGGAAATAATCGAAATAAGTTTTTTCAATTTCTGGTGTGCCCCAAACTATGGACGAATCATTCTTGAATAATCGTGTTAATTGCATATAATAATTCGTATAAGTAGTTGTGATCCGAACTTTTCTTCTCCAAGGTAAAACGCATCTTCCGGCAAATATAGAATCGCTGCACAATTATCTTCAAGCTCATCGGATGTTTTTAACAAAACATCCAATTTATTTAAGTTACAATTTTTTTCTGAATAAAGTATTTGTTATTCTTCGTTTTGTGTAACAGTAAATCGCAAGTTATATTCCAAACTCGGTTCCTCCATGAGTTCTAAAGAGTAAGTTGAGATTCCAGCTTCAAACATTGCGACTTTATGAAGATTACTTGTGATTTAGAAAGCTTTTTCCAGAATTTCATAATTTCATATTGAAGGATCTGGCTATATTGAGCTCAAATAGTGAAGAAATGAAAGAATCATAGTTGTGTTAAATCAATTATTAAGGTATCTTGATTTTCACCTAAATCTGGTTAGAAGTCCAAAAAAGACAAATTTCGCTAAAATAACAATGATATGCGATATTGAAAAAGAGCGTTAAAGCTACACAGATAGGAATATACCAAGCGGCAATATTTTCCTCGTAATTAATTTTTTATCATTTGTTATTTAATATATGAAGTATCGACTTCTCGAGCTTTATTTTCAGTGAATAAGAAAGTATTTCAACAATTACTTTTTAATTAAATTGATTTCCGATTTTATCCTTGAATATCTATCCACTAAGGAGGATATATTTACTTTTGATAGAAAAGAAAAATAAAAAATAAAATAAAAAATAAATTCTAGATACCTTCAAACTTTCCATATACTTGAATAAATTCAATATGTTACACATTTACTGATTTTACGCAAGTCTGTTTTATCATTATCATATACGGAGTCCCTGTCATCTCGATTTTAAGTGACCCACAACACAATTTCTCGGTTAAAAAAAAAAAATAATAATGAGGCAATGAGATGGACAAAATGTTATGCAAATCACATTTAAATTAGCTAACGTTATAAAACAAGATTCTATATTAAACTACTCTCTTCATTGATATTGGGTTGCCTAACTAGCGACAATTTTTTTATTAACCACCTTTAAATATATTCGGTACATTTTAATATAGCCTTTTGTTAAAATGACAGCATAAAAAAAATTTTTATAATGCCAAGAAAGTTTAGTGACATCATCCAACTGTTAAAAGAAATCGCAAATCACAAATCATAGAAAGTTTTGTCTAGCAACCTAGTGGGAAAATTGGCTAGTGTCCAAATCAATCTAAGAAATCTAACTCAAATTTATTTTGGTCTCTTAAACTAACTGAATCAGGACAACAATTACCCCAATTGCCCCAAGAAAAATAAAAAAATCAATGTGATTGTTTCTTTTTTTGGAATTACTAAATAAGGAATATATATACAAAGAATAATCATAAGAGTATCAGCCATTATTATTAATTTCGTTCCTTTTATTTTTTTTTTTCTCTTTTTTTTTTAAAAAAAAAGGCGAACTGACATGTAAGTCTCAATTCACATATTACCAATGATTTTATAAATTCTTTCATTAAGCTTATTCCTAATAAGAATCCAAAAATCACCGTCGTTGGACATCAATGAAGAAAAATTGTCACAGTTGGATATTAATGAAGAAAAATCGGAACCGTTTGATATCAATGCGCCAGTTATACTCTTAGTCGGAAAAACAGGTATGCACCGAAATCGTACCTTTCCTTCGAGCTGTTTCATTTTGCTATTTAAAACATTTACTTAGGTGCCGGTAAGAGTACTTTGGGAAATCATTTGTTGAGAATCTCTCAAGATGAAAATTGCGCCTTTGAGGTCTCAGAAGATTTTGTAAGCATTTAAATGTATCTACGAAGTTTAATATTATAAATAAATAAAATCCGAAAATCTCAAATATATTAGGAATCGACCACCAACAAATCTAGCTCCGCGGTTTACAAAATTGGTAACGAAACGTACAACATTATCGATACACCTGGAATTTTTGATACAAAAAAGCCAAATGAAGAAGTCCTGGAAGAAATTGCGCGTACCGTACAAAAATGTGCTTATGGAATCAAGGCCATATTATTTGTTTTTGGTAAGTGAGAGTTATTAAAAATCAAATTGTATTTATTAAATCTAGGATTAACTGTACTTTGCTGTTAACAGAAGCTAAAAGGTTAACAGATGAACAAAAAAACGTGATTGACGGTATTTCGACGTTTTTCGGGAAAGAGGCCTTTCTATTCATGATTTCTGTCTTTTCAAATTGCAACAAAAAAAATACAAATGACCCGAAAATTTTTGAAAAGTCTTGGAACGATAAAGTTCGCATGCTCGTCAATAGCATGGGTAATCGGTGGGCCATTTCTCCGAATCCAGATATCTTTCCACCTGGTACTCGATTGCATGAAAAATGTCTACAAAATTTAGAAAATATTATATGTTCTCTAAGTGGAGTATATACAAATGAATTACTTGAAAAGACACGAAAGGAGCAAGAAGAACTTGCGCGAATTGCAAGGGAAGAACAAGAAAGGAGACAGAGTGAATATGATGAAATTAAAAGAAAAGAGGGTAAAGCCAGAGCAGAAGCAGAATACTTGAAAAGGAAGACTGAAGATGATGATAGAGCACGTATTGCAAATGATAAAAACATAAAAGAACTTAAAGATACCATATATAAAAAAATTGATGATCTTGAAAAAAGTGTAAGTGACCTTCGACGAGAAAATGATGAACTTCGGCAAAAACTTAATCAAGGAGGTTGTTTTTGGCTTGAAACCCGAGTTAAGCTTGAATCAGGAAGAATCATCCGAATGTCAGAGCTTCAAGTAGGAGATCGAGTGTTGTCAAACATTAGAAATGGTATTGAAGAGTTTTCGGATGTTTACCTTATCGCTCACATTGGTAAACTCGATCATGAGGAAAAATTTACCAAAATTTGCTTCACCAAACCAAATGGCTCTAAAGGTCTATTCAAATTATTTATAAATTTGGAAGCATAATACACTCAAAATAATTATAACGTTACTTATATACCTTTAGGTCAATTACGACTCACAACCACTCACTATGTATTCAATGAAAATTTATCTATAATTTTTGCCAAAGATTTGTATCCAGGAAAATCCAAGATTTTGGTTTCTGATTGTAAAAATAAGTTCATTCCAGTTGTTGTAGATGATATAACAAATGTGAGTTGGATCCCAACATTATTTCTTACAATTTAAAGTTTCCGATAGATACTTAGCATTCTCATTACATTTTATTATAGGAATGGCACGATGAATACATTAGCTTTTACACCCGGGCAGGCTCAGTTGTCGCCGAAGGCGTATTAAGTTCTTGCTACGACGATTGCCCGCCATCTCAGTCGCTTATGGATCTTGTTTTTTTGCCAATTCGTTGGTGGACCCGTTTCAAACCAAGCACGCATCGCGAAAATTATCTTCATCCTTATGTTCAGTTCTTGGAAACGACATATTTTTCTTTTATCAATTTATTCATGCAATAAACTGATTATTTTTTCTTAATAAAAAAAAATTATTATTAGTATCTCTTGAAAATTTGCAGGAGCGAATGAATATACTTTATCAGTTTAGAAAATTTTTTTATTTATAAATCTCGAATATAAATTCATGAGTGAATCTTTAATATAATATAATAAAATAATTTTTGACGACCAGCTGTATAATAATTGTGATCGTTGAATAATGTGAATAAGCAAGCCTTTTTATGCGAGGTAACGTTTTTCTTTTGAACATTTTGTCAAGTTAATGTTCTCAAATACCATGAATTTTCATTGAATTAAAGTTATATAAAAATGTTCAAAATGCAACCGTTTAATTAATTTTCTTGGGCGTAAATTATACTCGAATCCAAATATTCGAATATTAGTGTAAATTAAATTATTTGATATTGTCATCGGGAATATTAACTGTACGAGGTTCGGCTGATGTTCTATAAGGAACCGGAGTTAGCGTTATAAGTGTTGAAGAGGTAAGGAAAAAAAAATGTTTTTTCTTTATGTTTTTAATTTGTATGAATTACAGTAGTTCTTTTAATTAATATATATACATATATATAAATAGAATACAGGTTTAGCTGAAATATTATACCCTTCAACGTTAATAACAAAAATAGATGATTATGAATTGAATGGTGCGTCATTGGAACAATGGAGAACATATTTATTACAAAACAATAAAGTGAGGAAAATCATTCGTGGGTTTTGCGCATCATAAAAGGATGTTATGCCATCTTTAGACTGTTGTATTAATGCAGAAACCGAGAAATACGTGATTTAAACGATATGATCGAAAAGATTCACATGATTAGGCAAGAAATAGTCCTTTGCATACCGATTTTTGTTGAGTTATGATCGAGGTAAAATATGTTAAAAAAAATAAAAATTAAAAAAAAATTAAGGAATTTAGTTGTCTTCATGCAAAACCAATATTAGTAAATACGGGTGTGCAAAGAAATCTGATTTTGATAATCCATAACATGTCTAAGATTCCCTTGACCTGTAAGGGACAATAAATCAAGACGAGAATCAGTAACAAGATTTATTATGGATTGAAGAGTTAGATGATTTATGGGAAATAATACAAGTCAGCATTCTTCAACCAAGATGTTCATGGATTCCTCTTTGAGATACCATTCGTTTTGGATTTAATTTTAAGGTATAAAGTTATTTTTATTTTAAGGTAATTGATTTTTCATTATTATTTTCTTTTTTAAAAAAAAGGTACATAAATCGAAAATATTTGTACTAAAGTTAATATTCAAAATAATTTATGAAAGAAATTAAAATAAATTAAATAAACAAATGAAAAAGAACGTCAAATTTCCGAGAATAGGAAACTATTTATCAACAGTTCCATGGGAAATGGCCAAAATTTCGTCACCTTAAATGGTCCAGGAGTTTTGTTATTTCGTAAATTAAATTTCACCGGCGTATTCCTTTGTACAGCACAAAAATCCGCACTTTCGCTAAAGATCGCGTCCCCATCACCATTACTAATTCCAAGACGTAACGTGGTACAATCAGAGATAAATTTCTTTAACTTTCCGGAGACTGTAACGGTCTCGGTTTTTCCAAAAGCGAGAGGTAAAGGTGAGAGTTTAACGTTAAATTTTCCTTTGTATTCCGTAAACTTTGGTGCTTTTCTTTTTTGAAGTTTATTGGGAATAGATTGGACCGATGAAAGAGTAATTAATAAAATGAGAAATTAAACCAAAAATTGTTTCATGATTTCGATTTTTTATTCTTGTTTGTGAATTTTATTTTATTTTGTTTTTTTTATTTTGTTTCTTTGATTAAGATTTATTGTATATTAAGATGCTTGATTTTTTGAACATGGACCAGTTATATAAGTGAAAGGTTCCAAACCAAGAAAATTTTGATTACCTTTTTTTAGTATTAAACGAATTTAATTTCATTCTCTAAATGACATTTTAATCTAAAAGAGTACCTTGAAACATAGCTTTGAAAAAAATATATTTTTTTAATTAAGAAAGTAAGATGAAGCAATTAAAACTAGCTTCTTCGTTATTTTGAATAGGCATACTTTATAGTTTTAAATCTTGCTAGCTATATTCAACAGAATCTTTTTTGAAAAAAAGTATTTCGTTAGAACGCGAATACAATTTAACGCAAAAAAAGAATTTTAATAAATATATGATATATCATCACAATAATGGTCAACATCATGGATATTAAATAAGCCAATCAGATTTTTATTTTTTCTTAATGGAGCAATACAATGAAAATTATTGATTTAGTTCAACTAATAAAAGTCATCAGGGGCTTTAAAAAAATGTTGTAATTTATATGTCTCATAAAGACATAGTCGGAAGTAAAGGATATTCGATCTCATAGATATGGAAATTTTCAATAATATACCTTATCAGACCTTTAAGTGTTAAATATTGTATGCCATAAATACGTATTTAAATCTTTAATTACATTACGTTGTTAGTGATAGTCTTGTTATGACGCAAGATACTGCGCCTAACTTAATTGACGAATGGTTATTATGTCACTAATTTCTTAGCGATCTCTGATTTCTCTAATTTTACATATTTCTTTAATATATTGAATATCTTTATTTTCTTATATTTCTTATATTTCTTTACTATCTTAAATATCTATTTCATATTGATGTATTTTATATAAATATCTTGTATTTCTGCCTCAATAAATGGCAGAGTCGCTACCAATTCTCTAATAAATCAATAACATTTATCTCTAAAACTTATCTTTGCTCGTTAAACAATTCATTCTTCTTTAAATCTATATCAATAAAGACGACCTGACCCTTCAATATAATTATTCGTGTTTTATTTCTTCCATAGTTTAGACGTACTTAAACTCCCTGCTAGCAAATAATCCTTGTTAACTTAACGACGAACAGTTTAAGCTTAACAACGTCAAAGTTATTATATTAAGGATCAATGTTGGATTTGATATATTTTATTAAACTATTAATATTCTTTCTTGGCTGTGTAATAAATGTATTCTTTAAAAATATTATGTAAAAAAAAAATAAATGAGAGTAGCGCTTAGCATTAGAAATCCCTATCGGAAATAATAAGATAATTGCGGATTATATTATGTGATGCAAAAAAAAAAATTTTTTTTTAAATGACAATTCTTTTTGACGTCAAGTAATCGTAATAAATTCACTCTTTATCAGAACCTTTGGAACCTGTAAAATATAATGAAAGTAAGAAGAAATTAGAGAAAAAAATGAGAAATTACAATAAAATAAAATCACGAATATCAAAAATGGGTATTCAAAGGTTTTGTGATTCTTCAAAGAAAGGCGTGTGAAAAGAGAACAGGCTACTCGAAGGAAACTATCACGTGTAAGGCAACACTTCTAAGGGGATGGATAGGAAGCATCTGTATTCAAGTACTAAACCGTCACTCTTAGCTTAATACTACGGATACCACCAGAAAATGCTTTCTTTTTTTAAAGCCAAAACCTTTTAATAACCATATCCTTAGACAAAAGCAGTTAATGAATCTTGACCGGACAGATAGAAACTAAAGGGAAGAGAACATTGTTTAATCCATGCATGCAATGGTCCTATATTCATTCGCCTAGACATCGTTAAAAAAAAATAAAAAAATAATAAAATTAAAAAATAAGATATTTCCCATAATTCTACCTGCCTATTACAATGATAAATAATAAGTAAAAAAAATTTCAGATTTAAAATCCCAAGTATTAACAAACGAGGGCGGTTGGAGTCAGATCTTAAAGAGTCAATGTATTAAAAGAACAAACTTGTAAAGGTTATTTCGTATGAATTGATCTTAGCACTGGGGTAATACTTGTCTATAGAATGAACATTCAGAATATCAAACCAGTAGATCAAACAATATTTTACAGATATTGTTTAACTCATAACTAGAATGAGACAACTAATATTAATATTACAATAAATAAAACAAATACCTTATCAAAATGTTTAAAGAACGCGTTTATAATAATTTTAAGAAGCGAAAAGAGTACAAACTGCATGGTTCTGTCAATAAGAGCACTGGGGTAATACTTTAAAGTTTAGCAAAGACAGAATGGAGAGAATACGAAATATACTTGAGAGTTTGGAAGCTTTACTGATTCTTTTATAATGAAAGAAAAAAAATGATGTAAAATCAGTTCTTTGCTTATCTTGGTTAAAAATTTATCCAAGAATTGCGACGTTTAATTTTTTTTTTTAAAAAAAAAAATCTGGTTAAAACCTGAATCAAGGTTTTACTGAACTTTGACTTCGTTTTTTTTATTTATTTATTTTTTTTTGAGAAAGAAAACTATAAACTTGAAACATTCTCAAAATCTGCTAATTATACCTATATATAAAACTTAATTTTTTGTTACTATAAAATCTATTTATAAATCTAAAAAATATTTAAAGATTTTTGATTTTTTTGTAAAATTTCAAATATATTATTAGGAATTCAAATAATTATCTAAAATTTTATTAGTAAAATTTAAATCATTTTGTTCTATTTTCTGATTATTTATTAGCAATATTTTTAAAATATTTTGGTAATATATTCAAAATTGGAATTTGAAAAAAAAATTAAAAATAAATAAAACCAAAAATAAAAAATAAAAATAATAAAATTTAATTAAAAAATTTATAAGATAATTAAAATTAATTTATTTAAAATTTAAATTAAAAAAAATAATTATTTATAAAAACTAATTAAAATTTAATAAATAAAAAAATAAAATAAAATTTAAAATAATAAATAAAATTAATTAGAATAAAAATATCCTAAAAAATTTAAAAATTCAAAGAAAAAAATTTAAAGTTAAGATTTATTTACTGTATGTGATACTGTCGCGGTTACTACCATATACTTGAATAAATACGTCATCTCCTTTAATCTTTCCCACGTTTCCTATATCCTTTTACATTTTCTCATCCTATAATCCTTTTATAACGTTCCACATCTCAAAAAATGGAAAGTAGTTCAAACTATACTCAAGGTAAAAAATATGTGTGTTGGATTAAATATTTCGAAATTCTCAATAGTCTAACAAATTCTCTTTACGTTTCTGTTGAGACGAATTTCATGAACTTGAAGATAATTTAAAGAAACTTGTACTAATGCATATAATAACCATAGAAAATGAAGAAAGAGATAGGACTGAAACTTTTCCTACTGGACCTATCCTTGCGTCTTATTTTGGGACTAAATTTCATTCTTAAGACATTGCTGAGTATTATTTGAAGGAATATGAAAGGCAGAAGGATTTTCGTAGTTATCCGTTATAGAGTTGAATATCACAAGAATCTGCCATCAGATTTTTTTACACCATCTTGCAGAAATTAAGTTTAATGCTTACTAAGTTTAATGTTTATAAATGTTTTCAAGGAATATCAAAAAATTATATTCTTCGAACTATTATATCACGTAAATGTTTTTTAAAACATATTCATTTTTGAATGCTGCTTTTAAATAAATTTAAATAAATCTTTTCTTTGAAGCTTCTAACCGTCGTTGACCCTTAAATAGCCAATATATGTTATCTAATCGACGAAAAGTTTGTACATGAAATTTATGTTAAAATATTTGAATAACTTATAATTAGGTTTGTTATATAAAGCATGAAAACCCACTTTACACATTTTAAATTATTTCGTACGAGTTGATCTAATAAGAAATCCGTATATAGAATTTAACTTAATTGACCATATAAACACTGATTCCAGATTAAAAATATAAAAATAAGATAAACTTATTCTAACCATTTATCTCGTATTCATTGATAAATTTTCTATATACGACAAATTCTCAAAAAAGGCAAGACTAAAATAATATCGAAAGTACAAAGTTGTCATTCCAGATTCGAATAATTTGTTCTGTATCGTCTGTATCGCATGCCAGGCTTTTTTTATCGGACACATATGAAAGTGCTTTAAATAAAAACGGAAAATACTACTTGTGCAAAACTCCGATTTGTATCTGAACCATATTAATAGGTAGGGATTGAACCAATTCTACAAAAATCGAATAAAAAAATCGAATCTATTTTAGTGGTACGACTATAATAAAAATTGAAACTATACCAACGTTCTTCAAACCTTTATTAAAGGAAAATAAAAATAAATATAAAAAAAGACCCAAAAAACTTAAACTTATGCCTTCCGAAACTAATTTGAAGAAATCTATTAAATAAAAAAATTAAGTTAAATAAAAATAAAAGATCGCGATTAACCATAAAAAATAAAAAATGATAAAAAGATAAAGTAAAAAAAAAAATAAAATGCACCTTACATAGGAATCTTATAAAAAATTCAAATGACGGAAAATTAAGATTTTGGTTCAAAGCATACAACCCGTGAACAGAAATGTAGGTCAATCATTATGACGATTCCTACAAAAATATTTGAAGATTGTTTGATCATTTTATTTATATCTAATATTTAACAACGTGAATTATTCTATTGTTAAATAGTATTGTAATGTAATCGTCTAAAATCACAATTGAATTCATTATGCCATTGTTGTTTCGTTATTTCATTATTGCATCAATATTTGACGAAAATTGAATGGCGCAGTAAGTGAATCCAAGCTTTCCAATGATCGACACTCGACTAGCGAAACTGAAATTTTTTTAAGGACGGACAATTTAACTAATTCGGTACGGTAAACAGCCACTTATAATATTTAGAAAAAAAAATTTTTCAGTTACACTGATTATTCATATGATCAGTTGCTTAGTGACATGATCTACCGAACGCATTTTTTTTCTCTAAAAAAAATTTTTTGCTAAAAAAAAAAAAAAATTTAATTAATATGCAAACTTCCAATAAATCAAATGAATGGATTGAAGAATATGTTTCAAGCAAAGATATTAAATGCTACGAATATAAACATTTTAACAATTTTCAAGAGATTGGTACAGGCGGCTTTGGAAAAGTCTATCGTGCAAGTTGGAAAAGCTCAAAGCAATACCGTGCATTAAAATCATTTCATAACTTTAACAATGACACTGTTAAAGAACTTGTTCGTGAGGTAATTACAGAGGCAATATTACATTTCGGTCTATTTAGTATAAAATTATTTATATATCAAACTAAATTTATATTCGTAACAATTTAGCTCGAACTCCATCGTGGAGTTAATGATCATAGTAATATTATTCGCTTTTATGGAATAACTTCAAAACTAAGTAAATGATAAAGCTTATTAAATATTTATATT